CAAGGGGATATAATGTAATTGACATATTATTATAGCCAGGTATTGCCTTAGATGTTTCCTATGACGTAACTCCTTCCTTATATGGCCCGGCCGCCATGTTTTTGTTCACTTTGAGATTTGGCTGTAGATAATGCTATATGATTTCTCTAGTACAATGCTAAATCGTCGGCAAACTGTTCAAATGTTTTAAGCCCATAAAGCAAAATTTTACCGAAGAAACACAAATCTTTTTCATTCTTTTAACAATTTTACTTACATTATGTTTTGTTCTGTTTTTTGTTTAGTGAACATTCAGAATTTAGATTTTGAAAAAAATATTTCTTATGAGCTTGTGCGACAGATACCACAGATTTAGAAACTGCAGAAAAAAGATGTTAAGACTGTTGGTCTACTACAATTGAACAGCTGGCTGACGATATGTTTGCTCTCACACAATGCTATGTGATTTCTGCGGTACTGTGCTCACCTTGCTACGTGCATGGCCTGTACACCTCTGACTTTTGTGTGGGATAGGTGTCATGTGACCTTAGTGGCAGAGCTTATTATTGCTAGGTCTGCAGGTTTATGTGTCCATATGTGACATCCTGGTGAAATCAGGCGCTAATTTTAAATGATGAAATCAAATTAACAGATATTTTCCTGCCCGTTAAGAAATTTTTATCAATTAAAAGAAAAATCTGGCTCAACACCTGTTATGTCCGTTTAAAAATACATCTCTATCGGCCAAAGGAACACAAAAAATGTAAATTTGCAGTTTCCAAGGATATTCAATCTTTGGAAGTCATCAAACTTTGACATGATGGCCATTTTCTTTTTACTTTTAATTCTGACAGGACCCTCTCAACTGCAAATATCTAGACTTTTATGCAGGATACCTGGGTATTTTTTCATCAAAAGCAAGACAAATGAACATGCTATAAAATGATACCAAAAACTCTATATGCCCTAAAACAGATGAGCGCCTGATTCCACCGCGTCATGACACACTTTGTTCTGTGTTGTGTCTTGTTGAACCCTCCTGTCTCATGGAATGAGAACTCTTCCAACCACAGCGCTTTGAGAGATGGACAAGTAACCACTTGTTTGGAATCTCAACACTTGCTATTTATTAAGGTGCATTCAGACCAAAACTGGCGTCTGTCAGTGCATGTATTAGACGGTTGCTGACTGGTGTCTTCGTGTTCATACCACATTGCGTGGTCTTTCTTTGGAGTGCCTTTTTCTCCTGGGTCAAATTGAGGTTACACAACTAGTCTATTTTTGTATTTTTTGGGGATTAATGAACTAAGATCTGTTACAGATAGTATGTTTTTGCATCATCACCTTTTCAACAACAAAAATATGTGTTCCAAAAATTTATCCTGGCTGAACTTGCTCCTCTACTAAATGGGACTTAACTGTAAAAAAATTCAGGCCACCATAAAGCCAGCGAGATAGATGAACTTGATTCAATCCTCCTCAACAGTAGGGCGCAAGACTTGGGATTCGCTGCAGGCAAAATAGAAGAATTCAGTTGATCCGCCCGTTTGGCGGTAGGATGCGAACGGACGCAGGTGTTTGGTCTGAATGGGCAGTAGCACGATGGTTCTCTCGTCTTGTCTCACTGTCCTCATGCTGTACAGAATCCACTCAACTATGGTGCTCAATGCATAATTTCCTGTATGTATAGAATATTATATGTCTCTGTACATACTCAAGCTTTCTCCATTTTTACTTCCTGTGCTAAAGTTGGAACATTCCAAGATAATTGTATTGATAAATTCTCTTTAATTTTGTAGTAAAGTTTAGCTTCCTTTCGTAAAACAATGTCTGGACTAGCTAAGCGTATCCCATATTTATTTGCAGTGTCACATGATTCTGACTGTGGTGTTTTTCTATTTGTAAAACGTCTGTGTTACCAAAAATGTGAAGTGCCTTATTGCATGCTCTGACGTTCTCTCCCTTGCTACAATATGCACAGAACTTTCTCTGGATCCCTCCTCATGTTACAATAATATGAAACTTTCTCTCTATCGCTCCTCATGTTACAAATTGAAACGTTCTCTCTATCACTTCTCTTATTGCAATATGAAATTCTCTTTATGGCTTCTGAATTTACAATATTTTTGCTACTGCTAACGGGAAAGTGCTGGGATCTTTGCTTGAACAACTCGCCACCTCAGAATTATAAAGTTTTATCTGGCATTTTTGGCTGTTTTGAGTTACTAAGACCATTAGGTCAGAAACCAAATGTTCTATCTACTCTATCACAATCGTAAGATTATTTGGAGTGGTTATCAATATATTCAAAGAATGCCATTCGAAAAAGCTTGGCATAATGTGAAACTCAAAATCTTTTACATCAAATTTCTCAAAACTAGGTACGGTGCTTAGCAGATAGGACTTTGTAATTCTCAGGAAGCGAACCGGCCGTACTAGGGAAGAGCGACTTTGATGTCATCCTCTGCTGTAATTGGTTTCAGAATCAACTACAGCTAGATGAGGTGGGTTGTATTTCACCTCAGTTTTCAATAACTAAAGCTCTGTAGAATCACCATGAAGTTGAGTTGTTGTTGTTTTTTCTCTGTTGTTTTTACCTAATTTCAAGCATAACATTTCTAAACATTCTAGGTGTAAATTAAATCAAGTGCCCCACCCTGGAGCACCTAGAACAGAAATAGGTGGAGCTAAAGATAAGGACAGCTACAAAAATAATCAGGAGACTTCGCCTCGTCCATGTATCTAGGCAAAGGAACAAGAAAGACCAAGCCTGTTCACTGCCTACAATCATTAGGAGCTGACACAAGAAGAATATACATATAGATGTATAAGAAAAGTTTGTTTTTAAATGCTACCATCGCATGCCTAGCCTATTGAGAGTCTGTTTTTATCCATCATTCTAACTTAGTCTCTAAGCTGCAAAAAACACAACAAAATGTAACCATTGAATATCACTACCGTGATCAATGCCATATGGACAAGGTATTCACTTAGCACAGTCGCTATTCCCTGGTCACTTTTCCCCAGTCACTGTTCACCAGTTTCCCGGACCTCCGGTCCCCTGGAACAATTTTAGCCTGCCCAGAGAACGTTGACAGAGTCTGTGATAAAATCTTTGATTGTTCTGGACGTTGCCACAGGATGCAGGAACCTCCGTTTGTATTTATTGTTCCCACACCCTCCTCTTCTCTCCCTCTCCCCCCCCCTTCTCTCCCCTCTACCCCTCCTCCCCTTTCTCCCCTTCTCCTCCCCTACCTTCCCCTTTCTCCCCCTCTCCCGCTCCCTCTCCCTTTCTCTCCCCCCCCTCCCCCTTTTCTTCCCTTCTCCCCTCACTGTTCTGTTGGTGTGTGGTCACAATGTCGTTTACTGTATACAACTCTGGCCCCTGTTTCTGACTGTGATTTCTACAAAGTGTTTCCCCTGTGCTGGTGTGGCCCCCTGAGCCGTTGACATCGGCCTGTTTGTACATAGAGCTGCTAGACAGGCCATTTTCCTTGTCTTCTATTTCAGTGAAAACATTTTTTTTGTCTGTTTGATTTGATCTGAATTAGAAACTTTTCAACCAGGTACAATGGACTTCACTCAAACCAAACATGATTAAACGGAAAACAGCGTAAACTGAAAGAAAATAAAATCCTTGATTTTTTTCTCTACGCTGTATGAGCAATCTTTTCATATATCGAAGAAAATCTGGTGTTTCCGGACCTTTCAGATTATCTAGCGGGCTCCACTATTTTTTTTTTTTTTTTTTTTGGGGGGGGACAAATTTTGTCAAATAAAAGAAAGTACCTGGTTTAGAGAAGTCCTTGCCTTTTGGCTAATTGTTTATCCTTCTCAATCTGTGCTCTGCTATGAGATAAAATGGATTGTTAGTAAAACATACAGTCTTGCACGCACATAGCGAAATGAGCGAGGTGCGGAAATCTTTTCGCTATGTATGAATTCTGCTATTTATGTGTTTTTAATACCGGTACATGAATGAGAAACAATTCGGGACCAGAAAATCTGTTCACTTTGTGCTTGTTGAATATACAAAGAATATACATGTATAAGAAAAACCATTCGAGACCTGAAAAATCTGTTCAGAATGTGCGTATTTGTACATGTTTGGCTATGTGCATGCTGGACTGTTTGTAGAAGATTGCCACGTTTGTTTGATCTATTACTTATTTTTCATCGTGCAGCTGTAAAATTTTTTTTACACGTGACCTTGCATTGTGTAGCTTGCCTGATGGGCTCTGTAGTTTTAGTAAGAGTTTTGTGGCACTTGCAACACAAATAGGTCATATAAGTGCCGAAGATTAGTGGTGTTACTAGAGGGTGATATTCAAAGAAATGGAGGAGAGGAGAGATATGGACGATAA